TGAAAATTGTGGCAAGCTGGGCTTTCCATTTGGGGATGTGCATTGATACAGACGTGGATCATCAGTACAGAGACTGGCCTGTGGGTAGGCTGTGTTTACAAGCACTGTCGTTAGTTCTTGGCATCCAGAGGGGTAAAATTGGGGTAAGCAAGACACACGTTCAAAAATACGTCTACCAGTAGAGCAGCAGAGCCAAGCATTGCAGAGAAATGACCACTGCACTGAAGATTAGCTTGGAGAGATAGAGCGATGAGACTGCGAGATAGGGAATGTGCCAGTAGCCAAGGGTTCAGAGACCACAGGTCAGGGTGACTTGCTCTCAAGTCACTGCTGCCTTCACTAACCAAAGACCATATGTGTGCTGCTAGAGTCAACAGGACCATCCATGTGTCACACCAGCAGACTGGCTTACTGTCGACAACCATTCCTCCACCTTCTACAAAGCGTTTGAGGTAAGATCCTTGTAGACCACATACACACCCCAATGCACACATATAATGCTTGTGGGGAAAGATGTAGCAAGTATCCATCTCACATATACAATCTGTACATAGTCATTCTAAAGAACGGTGCCATAGGGGCTCTGGCTAACACTAAGAAAATCAAGAAGCTGATCTCATTTGTTAGATCTATCTCATGTCTGTGTTTAGATTCTTTCAGCACTTTACCTACCATCAGGAGTGGAACACTGCTGCAGCCACGACTTCCCGAATATTTGATCCACTCTTTCCCCGTGGCGCACCACCAAAACGCTTTTCCTCACTATCGTGGCCTGAGATGGTGGAGAGAAAGGCACGTGCAATTGAACATCCACATTATTAGACTTGTTCAAACAGCATTTCTCCTAGTCATCCAACAGCTGGCCCAGAAATGGAATCCCTTCCTCATGCAGTAGCTACAGCCCACTTTACCAAAGTCATTGCAAGGAAAGAAGACTAGGAATTGCGGGCGGAAGTCTCTTTAATTTCTTGCATTGTAACACTATACAGGAAATGAAAAGCAACAGGAATAGCCCACCACAGCACAGCAACTTTCCTGCATTTCTGTCTATTCTGAGTCTGTGTCCCTTGTCTTTATCCCCTGGGGCTGCTATAACAGAGTGCTCAGACTGTGGGCTTATAAACAACAGACAGTTATTTCTCACGGTTCGGGAGGCTGGACACCTCGGGTGCCAGAGATCAGGGTGCCAGCTCCGTCAGGTGAGGGCCCTCTACTAGGCTGACTTCTCACTGTGTTCTCACGTGGCAGGGTGGGCCAGGGAGCTCTGGGGGGTCTCTTTGATAAGGGCACTAATCCCATCATGGGG